CAGGTAATACTATCAGGTACTAGCCAAAATTCTTGCGATACCTTTTTCTCAAAATTGCTGACGCATAAAAGTTTTTTACTAATTGTGTATTAACAATTACCGTTACAAGTACCAGACCCCCTTTGCATGACGTATTTTGTATGACTTGAGATCAAGCTATATTATCTACACTTTGATAAATTTGCGATAAGCCATTTTCACAGATTTGCCACGCTACTTCAATAAAGAAGTGTTGGCATCCTCGCATCAACATCAGCAAAGCTGTTTGAGTACAGGAGGTATGATGTGTCACTTTTAAGAGTATATTGACTAATATATTTGAACTATGAAAGCATCCAAATAAAATTACATGTCCGTTACTAGTAAGACACACAGATGATAGTTAATAATAAATATAACTGTGGCTAGATATAATGGCAAAATACATTATTTACGAGAAACTAAAAACATCGAACATGCAATGTCTTTTTGCATTGGAACGTCTTCCGTTCAGAACCACGGTCAGGTGTAGCAGCAGATGTTGGCGTCTGCGTGCAGGAGATGGTGAAGTGCAGACGAGGCTGCGGGTGTTCTCTTCAACCAGAGATCGCAGTGTCTGTAAAGCCTGGGCGTCATTTCCATCACGTATCGTACGAATCGGGGAGTGTAAATTGACGAAACATCCTCGAATAAAATCCAAGAAATTAAAAATAGAACAAAGCGGGTAGTTGAGCGTGAGAATTTGAAAGAGATTGTAGTATAGGTGAGAAGTACATATCCACGAAGACTGCTACTGCAAATCTCGCCCGAGGTAGCATTACAACACAGATCTAACCAGAGGTATAAGTATCCTATGCGTATCCTCGATTAAGTGAATAATTCCGTTCCAAACAGGGAATTTAAAATATGACCAGACCAGATAGACGCCCAAATAAGACATAGGAACTGTTTGTTCACAGTGATAAAGCAATCAAGACACAATAACTGTTTAAAATGCTTTCTGATCTCCTCGTTTGTCATGCCTTCGATTCTAAATCAAATATCATCGAATACATGTAAAAAATAGATTACTAGATAGATTCGCAGTGTTCAAACTCTCAATCTATTTAAAATGAGCCTATGCTTTAGATTTTGAAAACACCGTTATCTTCTTCATTGAAATAATAAATTGGATAATAAATAAATAATAATGATAATAATAGATAATAAATAAGATAGAATACGCCATGATCAGTATTTGCTCTAGGCGGTATGTCTCGGCGGTCGAGCGTGAACTCAGATACAATATTCCTAGCGTGCGTAGCTTCTACGAATAAGCTTAGCATCAAAGAGAGAGAATAAGAAGCAGTGCGTCCCGAATAGATGTAGTGGTAAGTGAGATCCCCGCGAAATTATAACATATAGTTAAAAATCTATGTAACATAAAAAATAAAATAAAATAAAAAATTTAATAAACGTACTAAAGCAGCGAAAATAATTGTTTCCCAAGAAGGCGTAACATGTAACTCATCCGACATTTGTCATCGACAGCTGCTCATTATTAATCCCATTATTACCCCG